CTTGCGGACAGGCTTTTGAGCCAAACGCTTTGGATGAGGACCCTAATCATCCTCCTGTCTAGGTCTGCGCGTCCTGGCAGTGTCGCAGCCCACATACAACCATGACATTTTCTTCAAACATAAACGTCATCCTGCTTCGGCCGTCGCGCAGGTTATCAAGAGTCGCCTTGTCTGCTGCATACAGCAGAACGAATAAGCGAAAATATGCTACTATAATAAAATAATAAATGTGTTAGCTGTACGCCGTAACAGCGCTTCGCTGCCGCGCGACCACCACCAGTCGCGCGTGGGCTGAGTATACTGCGAGGACGCCCACCCCTACGCGGATTCGAACCGGTGACCTTATGGTTGCAAAGCAAACTTGCAGACCACTTGGCGCCTTCTTTTCCACCTGTTTCTCTTACCCCCATCCCGACCCCATTGCTAACCTTCCTACTATAATTCCCAGCTTAATTGACAGCAACCGAAGTGCCACTGGAGTAGAACCATCTGCAGCCACTTTCTCACGACACGCACCAAACGCACCGGCAACAGTCCCTCATAAGGCCACGCTATCTCGTTTCCATGGCGACGTTCAACGTTCGCACTCTAAGACAAACAGGTCAACAGGCTACACTCTCACGCACTTTGGACACACTGGGTATTGATGTTATGTCCGAAACTAGGATCAGTGGTCCTAATGAGGTTGTTGAATTAACTACACCCAGCTTATCATCTCGTTATTGATTGCACGCATCCGGAGACGCCAATGCAGCACTCACGGGCCAAGCTGGTGTAGTATCATTCTAAGCTCTGAGGTTGAGTCATTTTTGGTTGATGAGATTCCGGTAAGCAGCCGTTTATATGCAGCCCGTTTGACGACATCAGCTAAAGCTGATTCACGAAGTAGTAAAAGAACGCTGTTTGTTTGTGATTTCTGCTTATTCTCCCACCGACTGCAGTTCTAATGCTGTCAAGGACGCATTCTATCACGAACTGAACGCGCTACTACACAGTGCTACTAGTTCAGATATTATAGTAGTTGCAGGGGATATTAACGCACAAGTAGGGTGTCTGAGCTCTTCAGAAGCTCAGCTGGGTGGTAATTATGGGCTTAGCATCGAACGGACTGACAACGGTGAGCGTCCGCTGCAACTGTGTGCGGAGCACCAGTTGTTTCTTAGTAGCACTGCTTTTAGACACAGTGGGCGCCGAAGTGCCACTTCGCGTCCTCCTGTAGCTGGCCAGCGATGGACCCATATTGACCACATAGCGAAGTTATAGGTGGCCTAGTTCCATACTGGACTGCCGCTCGTACTGGAATACCTGCGTTGACTCTGATCATGCCTTAGTACGCTGTTGTTTCTCCATGAACTTGACCAGTAGGCGCACCAAGCGTCTCCTCCGATTGGCAACGGAGAATTTGTCTCAGCCCTCGGTCAGGCAAGCCTATCAATAAGCACTGTATACCGAACCCGCTGTCTTGTCCTAATGACACTGAGCTTCAGTGGAATAGGATCTCAACTACCATGCACGACTTAGGAGTATCTGCTTGTGGCACTATCAATCGTCATCGCACCACTCACTGGATATCTGAGGGTTCGGTAAACCTGTTGGAATCCATAAGAAACCCCCCGGCTGGCTCTGAGCACAATGTGACTAGACGGGCTATTCGGCGCGAACTAAAGCGGAGCTTACGTACTGACAAGGAAGCCTGATGGACCAGTATGCCTCAAGAAATGGAGGAGGTAGGAGCAGTAGGCAATTACCGTAAGCTTTTCTAGCTGATACACACCATTGGTCCGAGGAAAGCAGGCATCAGTGAGACAACCAGAGTCAGCGCGGGTGCACTGATACACTTTCAAGATCAGTTCAGCTGGCTCCCTGCTCCCGGACCTCTTCCTACTCAGGTGATGCAGGACGAGCCATGGACGGTTGGTTTAGAGCCTCCGTCGGAGACCGAGGTCCGAAGCGCGATCACAGCCCTTAATCGTTTTCGTGTCGCTGGCCCGGATTCCCTCCCAACTGCACTATTTAAGGATGGAGGTGAGGTCTTCTGCAATGCACTGACCTCCCTATTCGCACGTGTCCGGAAGGGAGTGTCCCGGCTGATTTGAGCGAATCGATTATTGTGGCAATATACAATAAGGGCAGTCGCACAGACTGTTCTAACCACAGGGGTATTAGCCTAACGCCAATTGTGACAACAGTACTGGCCTCGATTATCCTTCGTCGCTTCCCTGCGGGACAGGAATCTCGGATTACGGAAGAGCAAGCCGGTTTTCGGCCAGGACGTGGTTGTATAGACCATATATTCACTTTGCGGCAGGTGCTAGCGCAGCGCCACGCATACCGCAGATCGACAATAGCTGTATTCCTTGATTTCAAGAGTGCGTTTGGTTCAGTTGGTCAATCGATTCTGTTCGAAATACTTACGCGGAAAGGTGCTCCCATGAAATATATGAACATCATTCGTGCTCTATACTCGAACACTACAGGCCGCGTCAGGATCGACGGTGTCCTATTGGATAGCTTTCCGACTACAAGTGGCGTTCGTCAAGGTTGTCTGATTTCCCCATTTCTGTTCAATTTCGTCGTGAATTATATCATGGAGTGTTCTCTTGCGGAATCACACGATGAAGGCGTTGACGTGCTGCCTAGTGAAAGGTTAGTTGATCTAGATTATGCGGACGATATCGTCTTGTTTTTCGACGATGTTGGGGCGGTACAATCAACCCTGAATAGCCTGTCTAAAGTGGTCACATTATTTGGTATGCGCTTTGCACCTTCAAAGTGCACAGTGTTGCAGCAGGACCACCAGCCACTTGATGACCCCTTGACGCTTGCTAACGAAGAACTCGAGGTGGTTGATCATTTCACGGATCTTGGCAGCTGCATCAGCAATGATGGGCGCATAGAAACTGACTTCAGCTCCCGCATTGCAAAAGCCAGAGCTACTTTTTTGAACCTGCAGCATCTTTGGTGACAGAATAGAGTTTCACTCCGTCTGAAAGGCCGTGTATACAAGGCCACAGTGAGGGCCGTTCTGCTCTATGGGAGTGAGACTTGGCCCCTTCGGTCTGAAGATCTGAGGCGCCTTCAAGTCTTTGATCATCGTTGTCTGCGAAGCATTGCTGGTGTCGGATGGCACCAGCGTGTGCGCAACGATGATATGCGTAGACGAGTACTAGGTGGTAATGAACATGCTATCTCCCTAGAACAACAGATAGTACTGAATAAGTTGCGTTGGTTCGGGCCCTTGCTACGCATGCCTGGTCACCGCTTACCTAGAAGGGCCTTGTTTAGTCTGCCAGGTGTAGAGTGGTGCAAGGCTCGAGGTGGACAGAAGTTGACTTGGCAGCGGGAAATGAAGTCACTGACGAGCAAACTGGGTACCGTTGGTCCGTCTCGTCTTCCGGGCTGTAGTTCACCTGACTCGCCTTGTGCTTGGCTCAAGACTTTACAGGACATGGCTCGCAGTAGACACCAGTGGCGCGTCTGTTGCTGTCTCCTAATCGGATTGCCTGTTTAAAATGTGTTTGGTGCTGAGTTATCTGCGGGGTAATGGCTGATTATGACGCGTGGCAGTGAAAACCGCAAGGAAGCTGTCTCGCCGATGCCGCCTTATCTTTGCACGATAGCCAGCTGTTTGTGACGGAATGTTGTCTACACAAGGTGTAGGCGCCTTGACCCTGAATGTTTGCTTAGGGCATTAAGGTTTTCCGGGAAGTCCCCCTTCCATCCCTCTTCATCGGTCCTCATGGTTGTATGGCAGCGAAGCATCAGTTCAAATGTCTGATGTACTGTTGTTGTTGTTGTTGTTGTTGTTGATGATGATGACGATGATGATGATGATGATGATGATGATGATGATGATGATGATGATGATGATGATGATGATGATGATGATCTCTCCTTCCCACTTCGACTTTAGCTGTTTTCTTTTCTTTGGAGTATTGTCGCCGCTGTTGAGACTTTATCTTTGCCAACCCAATAAGGGGATTTCGGAACGGACTACTACGATTCTTATCGCTCGGCTTTAAGAAATCGATACTAGGTTGCAACTCGTGACTGTTTAAACCAGGGAGCTCCAGCTCCGTTCCACTGGTTACCCTGTTTATCCAGTAGCCTGTGACTAGAACCGTCTATTAAAGTCCATTGTCAATACTCGGACAGTGGGAAGCTTCAAGCTTTTGCTGGACTCCCACCTGCGAAGTATGCTAAGGTTGTATAGTTTAACTGCAACTGCTCCGTGTTCCTGAGGACTGCCGCTTTCCAACAATTTGTGTGTTCCCTTCTACCCTCTATAACTCAGGGAACTGTACTGTAGGTTTGTGTGTAAAAGTACACAGTATTTTCACTGCAGAATAACAAATATATTCAATATCTTGAAACATATTTGGAACCGATCGGGAAGTCATGAGTTTAGAAAACTTGGTAGACGACTGGTTAATGTATTTATGGTAATAGACAACGTTTCGCTTTTGACAAAAGCTTCATCAGGCGACAAATAACAAATATACTTTTCCGTGTCTCGCATGTGCGGCGAATCGCGTTATTTATCATGTGCATCACATTGAAGTTTCTTTTCTATCTTTTAAGCTTAATTGCTATTAATGATCACTTCTTATCCCGACTAAGCGCTGAATCATCAATGCATTAGTAGCTTTATGAAGTTCTCTTAATCGATTGTTCCTGGTACTTTTATGCCTCTTCCGCATTTGTTATTGTTATCCATTCTCTCTAGACTTGACTGCTTCTAGGCTGTTGCGGGAACGACACCCATCTGGTGTCTTACGGTTGCATTTTTCCTGGAAATGGGGTCGCGCTATTAGGTACTCCAGACCTATTTTCCATTCACCTAATTCTCTTACCATTTATTAACATAATGCAGTCGTTTGTGAGGTATTATCTTCCTTTCCAGATCCATAAGTTCATCACCACCTACCTTGCGCACTGATCACGGGCGAACTCCGAATTCCGACCTAGAGGCATACTAATCTCGCTGTCTTCAATTAGCTATGAACTACGGGTCTTCACGCATCCCGAAAGTTGTTACAGTCAGAGGTGAGGTGACAGAATTCGTTGAACTCTTTTTCAGTTCAGAAAGCTGTGGGGCTTCGGATCATTCCAAAATCAGAGGCTAAGCAAAGTAACAACTGATTTTTTGATTCATTACCTGTCAGAAAAGCTGACTAGCAAATGGAAAGTGGTTTTTCTGGGAGGAAAGAAAAAGATGTCGACTTCGTCAGTTTGGGCTCCAGCAGGCGATCCGTTTTGGGATTATGAGGTTACCTTGTAAGTTAACAACTTTTCTTCTATGTTCGATTTAGCAAGGTTGCTGCCCGTGGGGAACCTATTTGTCTCTTGGTTACCGATTCGGAAGATCATCATGTTGGTCAAGTTGTGATCCCGGTTACAGCAATGCAGCCTAGGCCGGCTAATCCTAATGAAAGACCAACTGATCCGTCACGTTTGAAGGTGTCGGAATTAGAGCCAACGAAAAAGGTGGAAAATCCTTTCGGCTCACTCCATTATTGGGTGTGGGTAGAGGAATATCGAACAGATGGGGATGCCTTGAAAAGTCGTACTGGATCCGCTTTGAGTTTACAGAGGTCAGTTGTTAACACTTCATTTGTACATATGTGAAGGTTCACTCCTAATCTAGTGCCTTTCGATTACTGGACGCTTGACTCCTTATGCTTTTTTATTTATGTACTTGCACGTTACCGCATACTCTCAACAAATTCCGCGTCTGACTCCCTCTCTAAAGCAACCAGCATTGAATTAATATGCGTTGTATACTTTCTGTATTCACCACACTTGACATCGTTATTGTCATGCCAACCCTCTCAGATTTAATTTGCGAACAGTATTTTAACTAGGGAGACATCCAGCTACATTCGCTTGGATTGCAGTGACGCTTCAGGAACCGGAATGCGTTAAGCGATATGGCCTAGCAGTGAAGAATGTTGGTCCACATAGGTCAGTTGATTAGCCCGCTTTAATGAATTTTGTTGATTATTACTATTCCGGTTTAGATGAATCGATCCATCTGAGCCTCAAAGTTAACTAGTAGTTTTAAAGCGTTATCTAAACCTTAGGAGGGGGCCTCGATTACGCGAACAACTTGTTATATTTATTGAATTGATGAGTACCTGGTCGGGCTATTTTAGCCGTCGCACTTACTCAGGCTTCAGTTATGCGAACGACTCCATCTCCGCACGATTTTCGCCTGCGGCAAATTGTCCACAATCCATCTCCAGTTAACCGCGTGACTAAATTCGTAACCATTCCGTTGAGAATGAGACCCAGTGGAACAGGCTAGTGGCATAATCTGTTATCAGCGAATCCATTAATTGAACAACGTCTAGTCATGTTTGTTTATCGATGACGAAAACTAAGTCTGAGGCAAGCTGATGGAGATTGGATCATTTCCATCTACATATTCGATGAATATTGCCTTAATGCAGAGCCGGAAAGCGGGAAATCTGTGACTTTTCTCTTGAGGGAGGACCGCATATGCCGGTCGGACTGAGCGTAGTTGTCGTTCTCGAGATGTTGCTGGTTGTGACAGTGGGACGCCGGTTTTTGCGTTTCAGTTTACGTCAAGCTAGTTACCAGAAAGATATAAAGTCCATGCTGGTGGACGCGGTTGACCTTCGCGTCTGTCGGGTCATAGTACATCACCGAAACTTATACAGCAGAATTAGGACCATTTAAACTAACTATTTTTGAGGGAAAAAAGGTGAGGTATATCTGGGCTTGCAATATTAACTTCTGATTTATAGGATAACTGGCGCGGAACTCTTATTAGACACCACTTAGTTCTCGTTGAGTAGCGATGATGTTTTCTTGTTGGTTTTCCAATTTCCATCATAAACCAAGCTCTTAGTGAACTGTTCCGGTATGTTTTCTTGACTGGTCCAGGCTCTTGACATACTCGTCGCCTGGTTCTTCTTCCTTCTGCTTTCAACAATCGTACGTGATTGACTGAAACCTCTGAACATGACGAAACTTAACAAAAGACTGAAAAGTGCTGATAGATGCATCTTCCCAATTAGAAACCCTAGGATCTGTACAGTCAATGGTCCGAAATTTCCTTTGTACAGTGAGAGGAGTTGATGCTGATTCATCATTTGCCTTTTTGAAAGATTCCCTCACGATGAGTGTTCTATCGCTTTCCATCTGTTTCTTATTATACCACACCGGGTATGTGGAACACTGTGTGGATCTCACTGACCTTGTGATCAATGCATCAGTCGTTAAGCCCTACGTTCCGGGTTCTAATCATAGCTCCGGTTATCTCTAACTGATGAGTTCAAACAAGAATGCAACTGGTCATGGATTGCGCTATTTAGAGTTATATAGACCAAAATACCCATCTTTTTATCTAGCATCTTACTTTTTGGTAGTTCTATGTTACTTTCTTGATGCTCGGATCATCGCAGAGGATAATAAATGGCCTCCTGTCTGCTACATCGAGCATCAAGCTTTATTGTCTTTTTTCCCCTCTTATGCCTTTTCACTCTGATTGTCCCGTTCCAGCTTCACTCTTGTCCCTCTGTTTCAAACTTCCTAATTCTTGGCCTTCCGCACCTTGCTTTGATAGGCGTTTTTCTTCTAGGTTCAACTCATGCGAAACGTCACTCCTGCTCTGTCGACAAACACATCTCCAGCCAAGCGCTCAAACCCAGTTCCTCGGCATCTACTGGGAGCCCTCGATCATCTTTCAGATTGACATGCCTCAACATACACACGTTGTTACAGGTCAGTCAACAGGCAGCACTTACCCGAACATTCGAGGCCTCGATCGATATCTGCTGCCTGTCGGGAACCCGCCCGGAAGACTCGAGCTCTGTGCTCGCTTTGCCACCCCCTTCACGTGACACTAGCAGTGTTTCCTCATTGCGCATATCCGGGGACGATGCAGCTTCGAGTGCTGGCCAAGCCGATGTTGGTATTGCCCTGAGTCCTCGGGCTGACGCTGTTCTGGTTGTTTGGATCCCGATCAGTAGTCGGATGTGTGCAGTTCGACTGCTAGCTCGTTCAACGCTTCGAAGTCACACCGGACTAATGCGTGTTTGCTTGTCATCGCTGCCTACGCGCCCACAAACTTTGGCGTTGTCTCGATAAAAGATGACTTCTATCACCAGCTGAATGAGCTTCTTCGTCACAGAACGGTTATTTGTGTGAAAGTGCTCGCTTATTTCTTGCGAGCATTAACTTCCGACACAGCACCCGTCAGAGAGTGACATGACGTCCGCCAGCCATGGACGCAAATCAATCACACCGCTGGAGAGGTTGCGTCCAAAACTATCTCTCGATTTGGAGCACATATGTGGGCACTGACCATGCACTTGTATGTGCTGATCTGTGGATGCGTTTTGGCGGACACCCACGACAACGCTGTGAGCGCATAGACACCAGCCAACTGGCGAAGCCAGGTGTTCTGAATGTGTGTCGAAGTACACTGGCGTTCGGTTTGACTAAGCACTAACTGTATACAGTTGAAGGTCACTGGTCGCATGTACACCAGGCCTTACAAGCAGCGGCCAAACCCTCATGTGGTAAATCGAATAACTAACATGGGCATTAGGCCACTTCGCGATCTCTGGAACTTACGGATGCTTGCCGGCACATTCCGGCTGGAATCGAACACAATGGGACCCGCAAAGACTTCAGGGCAAAACTGCGTGCTAGCCTGAAGGGAGACCGCGAATCCTGGTGGTCTCATCGTGCGTCATTGATGAAACTGGACACTGCCCTTGGTAAGCATAGGAAGTTATTCCGTTTGATACGGGAAACGGACAGCAGAAGACAGTGTTAGTGAAACTATATGTGACGAGAGTGGACAGTCTATTCACAACTTGTCAAAACGCTTGCGCCGTTGGGCTGAGCAATTTGAAAGCCAATTTAATCGGCCGGAATTGTCAGGTTTTTCGCTGGCCGCTGATCGCCCTGCTTCCTGGGCTCTTCCTTTGGATCCGCTCTCTCCCTCAGAAATCGAACTTGAGATCGGACTGCTTAAGTTGAATAAGGCAGCGGGACCAGATGATCTTAATCCAACCCTCTTCAAATTCGGGGCACCTGCTCTGATTGATCATTTACGCTAGTTACTAGGAAAACTGGGAGCAAGAAACTGTCCCAACCGACTGGAGCCGCTCCGTTATTGCCCCGGTCTTCAAAGGAGGTTCCCGTTCAGAATGTGACAACCATAGAGAAATCAGTCTGATGTTCATCGCCACCAAATTGCTCGCCTCTGTCATCCTTCACAGACTGACGTACTCGTGAAAGCCAGATTCGTGAAGAGCAAGCCGGGTTTCGTCGAGATCGCGGCTACATCGACCACATCTTCACTTTGCGTCACTTTTTGGAGCACCGTCGAATATATTGGCGGCCAACTGTTGTGTTCCTCTGCAACAAAGGTGCCTTCGATTCGGTGAATCGATGTGCCTTTTGGGACTGTCTACTCAGGAAAGGTGTGCCCGATAAATATGTAAATATCATCCGAGCATTGTACGCGCGTAGCTTGGGCAGAGTGAGTTCTTAGGGCAAACTGTCGCGGTCCTTCAATATTTCCAGCGGTGTGAGACCAGAATGCCTGATGTCACCTTTCTTTTTCAACTTCGCCATTGATGAAGTCATGTAGATCGAGTTCACCGGGCACGACTTGGAAAGTGTGGAGCCGTTCCCAGGCGAACGGTTTCTTGACTTAGAGTATGCTGACAACACTGCCCTCGTTTGTGCTAACTTACCAACGTGCCTAGCTTCACTGGACAGATTGGTTCTGTCTGTCAGCTGTATCGGTCTTTGCTTTGCACCCTCGAAGTACAAAGATTTCCTCCAAGATTGGCAGTTCCCACCTGCTGCGCCGACCCTTGGCGGGGATAAGCTAGAAGTCGTTCAATAATTCAGTCACCTGGGCAGTTACGTCAGCACCTGTGAAATCGAAGACGGGGCCACAAACCGTATAACAAAAACTCGAGGCGCCTTTGCTTATCTTCGCCATTTGTGGTACTGGCGCCACGTCACTCTCTCTTTGAAGGGTCGAGTGTACAATGTAACCTTACGTTCCATCCTATTATACGGTTGTAAAACTTCGCCCATTAAGTCAGCCGACATAATGGGGCTAGGTACGTTCGACCACCGATGCCTTCACAGTTTGGCTGACATCTGATGGAAACACCGTGTGTGCAATGAGCGTGTTCGATGCTTTGTTTATGGCACAGGAAAAAGAAATAAACCGCTCGGCACCGTTATTTCACGCACCAGGCTCCGATGGCTGGGCCACATTTTACGCATGCCAGCCCACTGACTTCCGCGGCCCCGGGCGTGTGAATGGGAGAAGAGAGGTGGCCAAGCAATGACTCAGTCAAGAGAATTGAAGGCCCTTATTTCGAACTTGACCTGGGTTGGAGCTTCTCGGTTCCCTCCTTGGGGTCCGAGAGACGATGAACACGTTTAGCTTGACATGACTGATATGGCTAAGAACCGACCTCAGTGGCGTTTGTGTTGTGAGTTTCTTTGTCCGTCTGCCTCCCGCTTAGCCTCCTCCAATAACAATCTCATTTCTTAGCGTATTCTAAATTTCGTATAGTATCTTTTGCCGCAC